AAAATGTTCTCAGATTGATATGGCAACGGCTGCCTAACTGTTAATATCTAAAAGCCATTTAATTGTATTCTTTTTTGGTGATATTATAATCATGCATTTTTTTTAGTTTTGGCAAAATACACATAAGATTTTCCATGACCATTTTTAAGTATAGTTCAGCAGCATTAAATACATTTTCAATGCTGTTCAACCATCAACAGAACTCTTTCAAGTTACAAAACTGAAAGGTACCTACTACATGATAACTCTCCATTTTCCCTTCTCCCTAACTCCTAGCAACTGTTACATATTTTATCTCATGAATTCAACACCTCAAGGTATTTATATAAGTGAAATCAAGCACTATTTGTTCTTTTTTGACTGGGTTTTTTCACTTAGCATAATGTTCTCAGGATTCATCAATGTTGTAGCATGTGTCAGAATTTTCTTCCTTGTTAAGGCTAAATAATATTCCATTGTATGCATATATGATATTTTTTAAAAATTTTGTACAGCCTCAGAATGTTGTCCAGGCTGGCCTTGAACTCCTGGCCTCAAGTAATACTCCCACCCTGGCCTCCCAAAGTATTGGGATTACAGGCATGAACCACCAATGCCTGGCCCATATACCACAATTTGTTTATCCATTCATCCAACAATGGACACTGAGTTGTTTCCACCTTTAGGCTATTGTCAATAATGCTATGAACATGAGCATATAAATATCTGTTTGCTTCTCTGCTTTTAATTCCTTTGGGTATATACCCAGAAGTGGAATTGCTGGATCATATGCCATACTATTATCTATAGCAGGTGCATCATTTTACGTTGTACATTAAAGTGTACATTGAATTATACACTTTAAAAGAGTGAGTTTTCTGATATGTGAGTTACATCTCAATAAAACTGTTACTTAAAAAACACTCAGGCAGCTTCTAATCTAGCAGTAGGAAGAAGAGTTCACAAGTACCCATCCTATATGTTTGTTATTCATCCTATTTGATTCAAAGGAAAGAGATTATATTTAATCTCTTTGAATTAATCAAGAAAAGCCTCAAGACAAAGACATTTCAAATGGGCCTTAAAGAAAGACATATTGCGATATGTAAAATGAGGAAGATGAACCATCCAGATTGGGGAAGGGAAAAATGAAAGGAGGATCATTTTAAGCAAAGACAAGAAAAATGGAAAATGTGGGGAAAATTACTTGATGGAAAATATGTTACTGCTAGTTCCCCATACCATTCTGTTCCATTTTCCTCCAAAAGATACAAGACTGTATTTTCTAAACCCCTTGTATTCTGTTAGGGACTGTGACTAATTCTGGTTAATGAAATATACTGTTGGGGAGGCTTGAGTAAAGTGGGTTCTAAGATTTGCTTCCAAAATCTCCCACCAGATCTTTCATTGCCACCAGGATAGAGAATGCAGGGAAAGACTCTGAGGCCTTGAAGGAGACCCTAGTGCAGGTATTGGCAAAATATGGCTTGCAGGGCAAACCAAGCCCACTACCTATTTTTATACTGTCTTCAAGCAAAATATGTTTTTACATTTTTAAATAAAAAATTTAAAAAGAATACTATTTTGTGACACATAAAAATCTCATCAAATTCACATTTCAGTGTTCATAAAGTTTTATTGGAACACAACCATGCAAATTTGTTTGGCTGTTTTGTGTACAATGGCAGAATTGAGTAGTTGCACCAGAGACTGTGTGTGGCCCACAAAGCCTGAAATATTGATTATCTGGAACTTTACAGAAAAAATGAAATGTGCCAACCCTTGTCCCAGAGCCACTAGTTGGAAAGAACCTGGTCCTAGAATGACGAGTGAGCAATAAATAAATCTTTATTGTGTAAGGCCACTGAGATTGTTGGTAATAATTGTTGAGATTATCTGTTAC